CATCACGGTCGATCAACAAAAAATGCCTAGCTCGGAAATCGAACCTTCGATAAGTAATCCACTACAACTCTCCGACAACGATAATTAACCGATTACGTAAAAATAACCATCTACCTACATGACGTATATCTCTAGAAAATCTCCCGCTTGCACAACCTAGGGCGCGGCTTTTCAAATTACCCTCTAACCAAAAAAAAGGCAAGCAACAAAGCAACAAAGGAAAATAATTCTATTATTACGTACAAAAAAAATATTTTTACGTATTACGGACGGGCGTGATTGTAGATGCAAATTAAACCAATCACACCGACGCTCCCTGCCACCAAAATTGTTTAATGTTTATCAAACACTATAGTCGGGATCGACCGGGAATCGAACCCGGAACCACGCTCTGCTACCAAATGTTACGGCCTACGGTTGCTCCCTTAAAGGATCCAATCCCCCGGGGCCCATCAGCAGAAGACTTCCCGAGCAAACGTAGGTCGGCCCTCCTAAGGCCACGTGGAATCTCTCTAATTACACTAAAATATATGGGGGAGCGTTATACTACGGCCAGTCGACCGGAAGGAATTTGGCGGAGTTCACTTACCTCGATCCAAGACGACTGGTCCCTCCGGAGTCGGTCAGGTCGCATGTAGTTGTGTAGTGCAAGGGAAAGAATGGTGATGTGGTGTGTATCTGGGTGTGACTGATGGTGATTAAACCTGGACCTTAGCCGTCGGCAGCAGCCCGAGCGTCGACACCGCTCCAATTTGAGGGGGCCTTTCGAGGTTATCCACAGTCACTTTCTTGGTTCACCACGATGACAGTCACTTAACTCTATCGTACGATTAACTAGCTTACAGAAGCCACTAACTATCGCGGGGTATAAGGTTACCGCACAAAACACGCCCGGAGTTTCTAGGTCAAAGGTCACTACCGTTTCGCGTGGCAACAGTTCTAAATACCGAGGCCGCACTAGCTTATATTGTCGAATGCACTTATACAGATTCTGAGTCGGACCCAATAAGTCCCGGGAAAGGCTATCCAAACAGGGAATGCGCGTTATAATTCCTAGACAGGATATTTACTAGACGCCCTAACTATTCCGCGGTTCCCGCACAAAATTAACAGCGTGCAAACATTAGCACATCTGGCAGATGACTGATCCGCTTGCGACCCGCGCGCCACTGCCAGGATCGGAAGAACTTCAGACCGGAATCGCGCCGAGCCGAGTGACATCTGGTGTCGATTCCGACAACAGAGTTTTGCGCGAACATTTCTTATTGTCGGAATTTTAATTTAAACAAGATATTATGGCATACTGATAATGACAATAAATTAGTACCGATAGCTAATGGTAATTTGGAGAACTTATATCTGGATGCTATGTCATTTAACAATTTGAACCAATGCTATATTAAATAAAAATAACCGAATTCTTGATTTGATATTATCAAATAATAGGGCATGTGTTTCGGTGCAGAAAGCTAATATACCATTGATTTCATTAGATGAACATCACCCTGCGATTGAAATAGAATTCCAAAAAAACTCACAAAGCATACTAAAGTCAAAACTGGAGCCGACATACAACTTTTTTAGAACTGATTATGAAGCTTTAATTAAGGAATTAGAGACGATTGACTGGAGTGTTTTATGGCAGGATTCAGCAGATGTCAATGATATGGTTAATGTGTTTAATGAAACAATAATGTATTTTTGTAAAAAACATACTCCTTTATTTAAACCCAGAAATAAAAATTATCCTCCATGGTTTACATCTTCCTTAATCAAGGCTCTTAAAGAAAAATCGAAAGTACACTGTCGGTTTAAAAAATATGGGAACACATTGGGCAAACTCACTTACAACCTATTGAGAGCTAGGTGTAATCGACTTATAAAGGAATGTTATGCTAACTTTAAAATGCATACCGTAAGCCATTTACAGAGTAACCCTAAATACTTTTGGCAAATATTTAAAAGTAAAAAGTCAAATTCTGCTTCTATACCTAATGAAATGAAATATAATGACAAGCGGGCAAAGGGTGGTAAAGATATTAGTAATCTATTTGCAGAATATTTTCAGTCTGTATATAAAAAAAGTAACAAGCAAACATACTCTAGAGATGATTTATGTGGAACAATATCCTCTAGCATGTCACTTTACGGTTTTCATTTAGACGAGCAAGAGATACGTGAATATTTACAATCCGTCGATAGTAACAAGAGTACGAGTACCGATTCCCTTCCTCCTATTTTTTTCAAGATCTGTGCGAGTTGCTTGTGTAAACCTCTTTCTAGAATTTTTAATAGGTCCCTTTCTTCTGGTATCTTTCCTCATCAGTGGAAAATTGCCAGTATAACTCCAATATATAAATCTGGTAATATTGATGACGTAACTAATTATAGACCAATTTCATTGCTACCTGTTTGTGGAAAAGTATTAGAAGCACTAGTACATAAAAGAATACTAAGTCACGTCAAGAACCAAATAAGCCATAACCAATATGGGTTTTTTCCAAAAAGATCAACAGCTTCTAACCTTGTAAGTTATATATTGGACATTTCTGATGCAATTGATAACGGAGAAGAAGTTCACGCCATATATACTGATTTTCGTAAGGCATTTGATGTCGTAAATCATTACATATTAATGCTTAAGCTGGAAGCAATGGGTATTCATGGAACACTGCTTAGATGGTGTAAATCATACTTGAGGAACCGTTCACAACTTATTTATATTAATGGTTTTAAGTCATTCTCTAGTGAAATCCTTTCTGGTGTTCCTCAAGGTTCTCATCTTGGTCCGTTGTTTTTCTTGATATTCATAAACGATATAGGTAAAAACCCTTAATTGCAAATTCAAAATGTATGCAGACGACTTAAAAATTTATCGAACTATAAAAAGTGTCCATGATATTGTCGCCTTACAGCAAGATCTCGATAAAATTGATAGATGGTGTAGGGATAACCTCATGATATTAAATACACAAAAATGTTACCATATAAAATTTAGCAGAAAAAAGAAGAGTTACACAGCTGAGTATTTTATTGGTGACAGTGTCATAAAAGAAGTGTCTTGCTTGCGAGATTTGGGGGTTTTTGTAGATACTACTCTTTCTTTTCGACACCATTTTGATTACATAATTAAAAAATCTTCAAGACTCTCAGGCTTTATTTGTAGGCAAATGAATATTTTTAAAAATAATGGACTAACCATAACTATTTACAATTCTATCGTTCGAAGCCATTTGGAGTACTGCAGTGTTGTTTGGAATCCTATTTATACCATCCACTCTGAGCGAATAGAGCGTGTTCAAAAACGTTTTTTGTATGTCCTTAGCTATGCCGAGAACAAATGCCATATACTTCATTCCTACAAAGATTGGCTAAAACATTTTAAAATGGTTCCGTTGCAAATGCGTAGGAAATATTGACTCACCAATAATTTTAGAGCGCATACAATTCTTAATACCTCGTGCTAATAGTCGCCTTCATAATCGTAAAACATTTAGTCTTCCACTTTGTAGAACCGTTCTCGGACAACATTCGCCATTATACCGCATGTGTTCATCCAGTAACATTGTTCGATCTGAAGTGGATGTTTTCATGGGTTCAGTGACCTCCACAAAAAACAAATTATTACAGTATCTTTATTCCAAGTATGTAATTTAATTTAGCCTTAATTTAATTTAGTCTTAATTTAATTTAATTTGGTATTTAATTTAGCATGATTATAACATAACTTTAAGTACCAAACTTTATTGTTAATCACATGTTGTACATTATGTGCAAGCTGTGTCTACATATATATTAGAATACAATTTTTGAAATCTTTGTTTTATATAATACCTGTTACCATGTTGAAATTATGTTCTGTTTTGTAGACCAAATAAAGAGAAAAAAAAAATATTTATGTATGTAAATTCTTTCGACGAACTATTAAATAAAAAAAGATGAAAGGTTACGATAAGCTATACACCTACAAGATTAAATGTAAAAACATACATAAATACACCTACTCGCTTCGGTCGTGCGACGAACACTGAGCGCATTCCGTACGGGATCCCGAACGCACAGGCGGTCATACGGAATCTCGAATCGGAGAAATTCCGTACGGAAAAATAACGTACGTGTGTGGCGGCTCATAGATTTTATATGAACTTGCTGCGTTCGGAATCCCGAATCGGAATATCGAAACGGAATTCCGTATGTATGTGGCCGGCCTAACGCTAAGTTTTAGAGTATAGAATAAAAACTTTTTTATTTACAACATCAAGAGATTATTAATAAGAACGCCTTTACTAACCAGATGCCACTTTACATCCAAACATTAACTAGATGTTACGTTAGACCCAAACATAGCCTATTTTAACCTACTCCCAAAAAGAAAGGTTATCAATATGTATGTACACTGATTTCTAAGCTTGATTAATTCGTATATACATGCTGAAATTTTAGTGGTTGTTGTCCCGCAGCCAAATTATACTGTCTCGATAGTAGAGTCAATTTATTAAATTAAAAAACATTACAATTAAAAAAGGGCAGATTTACAATAGTAATACCTCACAAGCTAGTCGGGCGTCCAGACTAGTTTATGTCGTGTCACTACGCTTGAGAGTTCATGTTATGAACATTTATTAGTGGCCCTTCACTGTGTAGGAAGCGGTAGCGCGTGCGAAAAACGTAACACAACATAACGTCCAGTGAATTTTTTTTCAGACTTTTGTTACGCCACACCGCCACAGCCAATCACAGCGCACCATTCAAGCCAGCCAATCCTAGCCAAGCCAAGCGGAAGCCACCACTCTAACCACCGGATGTCTCTGGTGTGGGGTAGTGCTATATAGTGTCTTACAAGCTCCATTTTTAAAAAGTGATCACACTACCGCTCGTAATAAAACGAAACTCTGCCGAGATTGTTATTCAAGTATAAAATAAAATTAGTGCGTTTAGTTCTACCTTCTTTTATTTGTACTGACTGTTACATCTCAGAAGTGGGATCAAAAGTGAAAACTATGAAGCGTCATCGCGTCGGAATGCCAAGAAAAGGCAATAAAGTCCGCCCTCAAGAGTCGAGCGAATCACCATGTAAAGATTCATCTGAAAAAAGCGACACTGAAGACGAGGTCACACCACCAGACACTCCTCCGGCCCGGAAAATCCTTAGAAGACTATTGGAAACCGAAGTACAAAAGGCAATGCAAGAGCTAGACGAAGAATTACCCTCCGTAACGACAAGAAAAGAACACCGTGCAGCCTCACTTATTCCAGAATTCGACCCCGATAATGAAGAATGTAGTACCGCAACAGCGTGGCTCAAGAAAATAGATCAACTAGGCGAAATTCATGGCTGGAGCGAAACTACAAAGTCGTTTTACTTACAGCATAGACTAAGAGGTCAAGCCAGACGATGGTACAATCGGCTTGATGACTACGATTATTCCTGGCAAGAATGGAAGCAGATGCTGACGCGTGCTTTTCCCAAACATCGCGATTTCGGGAACATGTTAGAAGAGATGATGAGCCGAAAGAAACTACCAACGGAATCGATGACGAAATACTACCAAGACAAAGTGGCCATGTGCTTCCGGTGTAAGTTGTCTGACAGCGCAACAGTCTCCTGCATCATTCGTGGTCTACCATCATCACTTCAAGCGAATGCGAGAGCATATCAGTGCGAGCATCCCGAAGAATTATATGAAGGCTTTCTCTGTGCGCTGGATGATTATCAACCGCTGTCAACGTCAATTAGAACACGTGTGCAAAGTAAAGACGCTTACGATCGACAGGTAATTGATAAAAAATACACGCCTATTAACCCTGACATTGACCCGTGTCCGCGCTGTAAGAAGACCGGCCACATATTACGTAACTGCCCGTATCCAGATTCACGAACATGCTTCAAATGTGGCAAGCAAGGCCACATTGCTACGCGCTGCGGAATCACTCCGAAACCTGCGCTACTGGCTGATGATAAAGTTAAAGAAATTAAACTTTTACAAAATCACAACAAGATTTACGAAAAAGCGGTAAAGATCAAAGGCATTCACGTTAAATCTTATATTGATACCGGCAGCCAAGTAAATGTATTATCTACCCACGTGTCGAGACTATTGGATCTCAAAATCAACCCGACCAGCACTATCCTAAAGGGATTCTCTGGAGAACATCTACCCAGCTGCGGAGAGGTAGGTTTTAAACTAGAAATCGATGGTATACATATCCCGTGCAAGGCTCATTTAACAGACGTGGATATGGGGAACATCCATCTTTTGGTTGGACAGCCCATCATCAACAGCGACGGAATGGTCTTAGAGGTCAGGGAAGGAAAAGCCACTCTCAAACAAGATATCGACTTTACAAGGCAAATGGATGTGATTGAAGAGCGCGCTCGCTTTAAGGTCGTCACTACAGAGAAAGAGCGTCTATTGCCTGGACTTTCCATCATCAAGGTCAACGTGATAGATAATGACGAAGATAACGATGTCGTCACTACGCCGCAACATTATGAGCTACGAGGTGTTTCGTACTCAATTCCTGCCACTCTGCTACGAGGCACCGTCGGGTACATCAAAGTCATCAACAATGGAGCTCAAAACATCATCTGGGAGCAAGGCGAGGTGCTGACCAGAGCAGATAGCTGCGTCACCGCACCGCAACCAGAAGTTCAGGTTAGCCCTAAAAATTACACTTTGCCATCGACTTCCGTAGCCAAAGCCAATAATGATTATTATAGCAACTCTATAGCATCTCTGTTGCATACTAGCCTAGCAAACGTTAGCACTATTGGGGGAATAAACATAGAAGATATTAAGTCGGGTCCATTAAATAAAAATGATCATGATAGTTTAATTACTTTATTGACTAATTACAGTGACTGTTTTGCGAATAAAACACAAGACTTGGGATGTACAGATTTATTAAAAATGAAAATAAAATTGACAACTGAACAACCTATATACCGCCAACCCTACCGCTTGTCACATAGTGAGCAGGAGATAGTTAGGTCTAAAGTCTCTGAATTATTAGACGCAGGTATAATCCGAGAGTCCGAGTCATGTTTTGCTTCTCCAGTTATCATTGTAAAGAAAAAGAACGGCGATAGTAGACTCTGTGTTGACTATCGAGCACTTAATGCTATTACAGTCAAAGATAGGTATCCGTTGCCCAATATCGATGATCAGGTTTCAAAGTTAGCCGGCAAGAATTTCTTCACAAGTCTTGATTTAGCACAAAGTTACCATCAGGTTAAAATTGATCCGGAAGACATACACAAAACCGCTTTTATCACACCACAGGGGCACTTTGAATATACGCGTGTCCCATTTGGCCTGGCTAATGCACCATCAGTTTTTATGCGACTTATAAACAAAATCGTAGATTCATTACGAAATTCCAATAACTTTTCAAAAGACGGTAGTACGAAAACTTGCAATAATTTTTCGAACAACTATGAAGTGTTAGCGTTTTTAGATGATTTGTTGTTGCCATCTTTCGATGTGCAGTCGGGCTTAGATATTTTAGAGAAGGTACTTCATAAATTAAGATTAGAAAATTTAAAACTAAACATGAGTAAGTGTTCCTTTTTACAAAATAAAATCACGTACTTAGGACATGAAATTACACCGAGTGGCATTCAACCGGGTGAATCTAAGTTGGCAGCAGTGTCACAATTTCCCACTCCTAGTAACGTTCACGAGATACGTCAATTTATTGGGTTATGTAGTTATTTCCGTAAATTTATTAAAAATTTCGCAATAATTGCCCGCCCATTGACCGATTTAACAAAGAAAAACGCGGCTTGGAATTGGGGCCGTGAACAATCTAATAGTTTTGAACAATTAAAACAGTGTTTGTGTACAAAACCCATACTAGCTTTATACGACCCCGCATTACCGACGGAGATTCACACGGATGCATGCAAATCAGGTATCGCAGGCATTTTGTTGCAAAAACAAACTGATAATTCATTACGCCCCGTTATGTATTTCAGTAGAGTAACGAGTAAGGAAGAAAGCATGTATCATAGCTACGAGCTCGAAACTCTCGCGGTAGTCGAATCGTTGCGTAGATTTAGGGTGTACATCATAGGCAAACATGTTAAGATCGTGACTGACTGTACGGCTGTTCGTGCCACCTTAACTAAACGTGACATTATCCCGCGTATAGCCAGGTGGTGGCTGTCAATCCAAGATTTTGATATGAGTTTAGAATATAGACCCGGAGAGAGAATGAAACATGTAGACGCGTTAAGTAGGAACCCAATCGATACTATGAATGTGAATCGCCTTGAAGTGTCGGACTGATTTTATACCGTCCAGTATCAGGATGACAAGTTGAAGCGAATCATTGATCAGCTTAGGGATGGCTCAGCCGCCACTGAAATATCCAATAGTTATGTATTCTCAGATGATAGATTGTATAAAAAGACATTGCATGGTAATCGTCTCGTAGTGCCAGCATTAGCTCGATGGAGGCTAGTCCAAATGCACCATGATGACATAGGACATGTGGGTTTCCAAAAGTGTATAGACTTAATAAAAAAAGACTACTGGTTTCCAAAAATGACTCGCTTTATTCGAAAGTATGTTACTGCTTGCCTTCATTGTGCTTATGGTAAGAGTGGTCATGGTAAAAAGGAAGGAAAATTGTTCCCTATTCCCAAACCCACAGAGCCCATGATCATGATTCATGTCGACCACTTGGGCCCCTTTTGCAAGACAGCTAAAGGCTATCAGTATATGCTGGTTATAACAGATTCCTTTTCTAAATTTGTTATTGCTGAGCCAACTCGAACAGTCAATTCGGTGGAAACCATTAGAACACTCAGAAAAATATTCAGCTTATTCGGATACCCCGATAAACTTGTAAGTGACCACGGGAAGGCTTTTACCAGTAGATACTTCAAAAAGTTCTCATCTGATAAACAGTTTAGGCATATCTTAACTTCCGTCGCATGCCCGCGAGCGAATGGTCAAGTGGAACGCACTAACCGTACCATATTGAATGCCTTGCGTGCCACAGATGCTAGCGAGGCTGCAAATAACTGGGCGAACAGCTTACCTGATATTCTATGGGGTATTAATAATACCGCGAATGAAAGTACAACCTACAGACCTTATGATTTGATGTTTTCCAAAAGCTCCAGGCCACGTTGTGACATCGTTGGCAATGGAAGTGTTAGTGAGCCAGTGGACGTTAGGCGTAACAAAGCTAGTAAACAGTTAAAACTAGCGAGTGATAGGATGAAACGTAACTTTGACAAGAAACGCAAAACAAGCCGTGTCTATAAAAAGGGGGATTTAGTTCTTTGGCGGCAAGCACCAACAAGCAGTACGTCGAAGGTAAACACTAAACTTGACGACGTCTTCTCGGGTCCATATATCGTAATCAAGGTGTTGGGTAATGACAGATATAGGATCAGAAGTATTAAGGGACTCCGAGGCTACAGGGCCTTCACAGGCCTTGTTGCAGCGGACTCCTTGAGGCCCTATCACAGTACGGTTCCCATATCTGACAGTGCCAGCAGTTCTGATGAACAACTGGAAACCGAAGACCTTATCGACCTGCTAGAAAGTTAACCAAGCTTTCTCCCATTGCGGGAGCAATTGTTGTTTCAGGACGGCCGAATGTTACGCCACACCGCCACAGCCAATCACAGCGCACCATTCAAGCCAGCCAATCCTAGCCAAGCCAAGCGGAAGCCACCACTCTAACCACCGGATGTCTCTGGTGTGGGGTAGTGCTATATAGTGTCTTACAAGCTCCATTTTTAAAAAGTGATCACACTACCGCTCGTAATAAAACGAAACTCTGCCGAGATTGTTATTCAAGTATAAAATAAAATTAGTGCGTTTAGTTCTACCTTCTTTTATTTGTACTGACTGTTACACTTTATTATAGTAATTCGGTATAAGCTAGCCTGCACGCCCGACCTACTTGCGAGATATTGCTATTGGTTTGTGATCGCATTCGAGTTTTGTTTTTCTCGATTGTAAATCTGCCATTTTTGCATCCTAATAATTTTCATTTTAATAAATCTATTGTACTACTAAAATCATTTTACTTCGGGAAAACAACCATTAAAATTTCAGCGTGTATATTGGATCAATCTATGTGTATATCCTTTCAAATAAAAAATCTAAATCGGTTTAGAAATTGTAGAATTCAGAGGTAAAAAACATTAAAAAATACACCGAATTCATTACCTCCTCCCTTTTTGAAGTCGGTTAAAATTAAACATTACACGATGTGCTTATTATATTCGAGCAAATTAATTGTGTTTAATAATATTCTTAAATTTTATTACGTCTGCATTTTTGTACCATTAATATATGTATAATAAAGTTATATTAGTACCATCATTATCGTGTTTATTTTATTCCATTTTATATTCTCATCAAATACATCTTCGTACGTAATACGTAATCTTTATTATATCGATTTTTTAAAATTAATCAAAAAATAGTGATTTGCACAATTTGATTGCAAACGCCAGAAACCGGTATCACTGAATGGCGTGTATGGGTGCGTGTGACGAGCGTAGGCACATTCGACTCGCGCCCCCTAACATAATGACCTTGCATCATTTTAACGCTCGTGTTTTGTACTAGACTGCGTTTCTATGCGTAATCATTCTATGAAATTTATTTTATTTTGTTATTTAAAAAATAATTAGTTGTTATATTTGAATTACATACTTAAGGTTAATACTATAATATTTTTTAAGCCACCTGTTTTAATATCGAATTAAAAGGTTTTTTTGTAAAGCAACTACTATTTTAGTTTTTTTAGGTGTGACTTGCTTCTTATACAATATGACAAGTAATTATAGAGCTTATGCTTGGGTTAAATAATCACAATAATAAGGATGATAGTAAGGCAAAAAATAAAACTTTATCACAAGCTAGGTAAAATACAGTACCATTGATTGATTTTCATTAATTAGATATTTTGTATCATTCAGTCGACAATTCAGTTAACTGAAATGTTTCTGAATCTCTTCTGATGAAATGACATTTGGCAGTATAAGAACTTCAAGATTAAACTGCAAAAATAATCTAAAAGATGTTTTTACCAAAAAATTAAAAAAGGTGAATATTTGGTGCAGTAAAATCAAAATGGCATCAGTTTTATAAAATGGCATGATAATAGAGACGTTGTTATGATATCGTCGCAATGCTATTCATAGATTATTACAACAAAAACAAGACATAACACAGGTATCGAAGCCTAACATGGTTGTCTAATATAATAAGAATGTGGGTGGCATTAATCACCAAGATCAGATGCTAGTGTACTATAGCTGTGAACGTAAATCTGTCAGGTGGTATATAAAGCTGGCAGTTCAAATTTCTAAAAATGATGTATAATTCCTTTAAATAATCTAATTTGGTTTCTGCCAATAAATTACTTTTAACGATTTCAGACAATCAATAATTGAAAATTTAATTAAAGGTGAAAGCACAACAGTCTTCAATAAAATGTTGTTCAAGAAGAAACAGGGCATAGAATCTTAAGAAGGGTCCACACGGCAGCGACTTTAATCGATAGCGACTCGCTGACGATGTCAAAATCTGTGTGTGGACGTGAATATTAGCAGCGATTTATAGTCGCTGTCAATGCGGCGATCGAATCGCTGTAAATCTGAAAAGTCGACAGTCGCCAAACAGTCGCCAGCGACATCGTTGCTGTGTGGACGTGTACGCCGTGCGTGAGCGATTTTAAAATGGCGGACCTACGTAAATATTCTCGGGCTTTTGTAACTGAATTTATAGAATTTGTAGCATATTGTGTCGGTAGATAATAATAACGGGTTCTACGGCTACCCTGTATTGTGTGAATAAATGATCGTTTACGGGTTCAGTGTGTTTAAATAAACGTTCCCCGTATTCCTTGAATAGCAAGGACATTACAGTGGCGACGAGGTTATTTTGTGTATTAATAATCGATTAACCAACAGTAGAAGTCACGCGTTAAAATGTCTATCTATGGGAAAGTGCCAGTTTTCGATTGCAAAACGGATGAGTGGGTGGTACACGTAGCACAACTAAACAACTTCTTTATTGCAAATGGAATCGACGATATCACAGATGCTCAAAGAGTGAGAAGACGGGCAATTTTATTGAATAGCATGTCACAAGACTCATATCGTCTTACTCGTGATTTATTGTATCCAAATACGCCTGAATCAACCGATTACAAGGCGATTATTGCTGCGCTTGACGGCCACTTCGACCCAAAAAAGTGTATATACGCTGAAAGACAAAAGTTTTATTCGGCTAAAAAGGACCCTCACGAGTCGATGGTGGAGTATGCTGCTCGTCTTCGTGGACTAGCATCGGCATGTTGTTTTGGTATAGCTCTAGAGATGTGTTTGACGGATCGTTTTGTACTTGGTCTTGACACTGCGTCGGCCCGAGAAAAATTATTTAGAGAAGATCCCAATCAGCTAAAACTAAATAAGGCACTTGAAGTAGCTTGTGCAGTTGAAAGTGCGCAGCGTATTGTTTCCGCTGGCGATTCGGCAGAGTTAATTAAGTCTGAACCTGTGCTATATACGGACTCGCAGCGAAAAGCTACTGCAAGCGGCGGTACACGAGGCGGTCGCGCCCGTGGTGGCGGCGACGGCGGAGCCCCCAGGTGTAGTGTGTGTGGTGCGAGGTCACACGATACCTCCGTATGTGGCTATCGTCATCTGTCGTGCAATTTGTGTGGTGCAAAAGGGCATTTAAAAAGAATGTGTTCTAAGAGATACTACGTACATAACGAGATTACAACCAAAAAGGACAAAATTGTGAAAAAGCAGCATAATGGTATGCAGAATAATTACATTTTGGAAGGTAGTGATAGGGACGAATGTAATGATTTTTCACCAATTAATAATGTTAGAGATATAAATAATGAATCACGTATTAATACTATTTTATGTAAGGAAGAAAAACCGATATCTCTTGAAGTTATAGTGCGAGGTGTTACTCTTAGTATGGAGGTTGATTCCGGTAGTGGGGTATCAGCGCTGCCGGCGCGCATATGGTATATGTATTTCTCGCGGAACTTGTCACTCGGTGAGTCCAATAAAACTTTATATACATACAGTGGTTCTGCTTTAAGGCTATTGGGCATGTGTTACTTACCAGTCACATATAATAATGTAACGCATAATATAAAATTTTATGTTGTTGAAAATGGCCCGGTTCCCTTGCTCGGTAGGGACTTTATGACAAAATTTAATTTCGCTTTTATCTCATTAAATTATTGTTCAGTAGATAAAGAAAAATTTATTTTGTCGAAATATAAAACATTATTTTCTGGTGGGTTGGGCACGTTTAATAAGTATAAGTTAACGCTACACTTAAAAGAAGGTGTCACACCAAAATTTTTTAAAGCTAGGCCGGTGCCTTTTGCGCTCAAAGATAAGGTAAGCGCAGAGTTGGACCGATTAGTGCGCGCTGGCATACTCAAACCGGTTTCTTATTCTAATTACGCGTCACCGATTGTTGCAGTATTAAAGAAAAATAATGACGTACGTATTTGCGGCGATTATTCCATGACGATCAATAAGGCCCTAATAATTGACTCTTATCCATTGCCCAAAATAAGTGAGTTATGTGCATCGTTACACGATTGTCGTTACTTTAGTAGGCTTGATTTATCAAATAGTTATAATCAGTTCCTTCTAGATGATGAGTCACAAAAATATACATGTATCAATACGCATAAAGGTCTTTTTGTTTATACAAGATTAGTGTTCGGTTTGTCAAATGCGCCAGCTTTGTTCCAGCGTGCTATGGTGCAACTGCTGCAGGGCATAGATGGCGTGGAGTGTTTCCTCGACGACTTGTTAATCGCGGCTCCGACCGCCGAATTACATTGGGAACGTGTCGATTTGGTACTAAGTCGTCTAAGAGACGCCGGGCTAATGCTCCAGCGCTCGAAATGTTCATTCTTCCAAAATAAAATAGAATATTTGGGTTTTGTTATTGATCGTTTTGGCCTTCATAAAAATCCGGATAAAATAAAGGCTATTACACAAGCAAGGGTGCCAGGAAACGTCCGACAATTAAAATCATTTTTGGGTTTAGTTAACTTTTACCGTAGCTTTATACCGCAAGCGGCGGTCATTCTTGAACCATTACATAATTTACTGCGAAAAAATATGAAATGGGAATGGACGGCGAAACATCAGAAATCATTCGATGCTATCAAAGACGAGTTATGTTCAAGTCGCGTACTGGCGCACTTTGACCCGCGGCAGCAGCTGGTTCTGACAGTGGATGCGGCCCCCGGCGGGCTAGGCGCGGTGCTCGCGGCGCGCTACCCCGCGGGTGCCGAGCGCCCGATCAGTTACGCTTCGCGTGCTCTCACTAAAAGTGAGCGTGGCTATAGTCAAATTATGAAAGAAGCGACTGCCATTATTTATGGAATCAAAAAATTCCATCAATATCTTTATGGCCGCCAGCAACCATTTATTTTGAGAACAGACCACAAGCCCCTCCTTTCTATTTTCTCCCCCGATAAAGGAGTTCCTCATATGTCCGAAGCGAGACTGCAACGGTATGCTTTATTTCTGGCTGCCTATAATTATAAAATTGAGTTCATTAATAGTGAATCTAATGTAGCGGATTATTTGAGTCGGTTTCCCATTGATTGTGATTCGTCGCAGGATACGGCGCACGTAGATGACGTCACCAGTTATGTTAACGCGCTAGCGGCTGCTGGCGCGCCACTGCCCGCTTCATTAGACGAGCTGCGGGCCGCTTTTCATAAAGATAAAGTTCTGTCACTTGTCATGCAATATGTGACCAAATCGTGGCCACGGAAAGTGTCATCAGAACTTTTGCCATATAATAGATGCCAGCATGAATTATATGTTGATAGCGGAGTTCTCATGAGAGGTCACAGAATTGTAGTGCCTACTGTTTATAGGGCTGCTGTGCTACAAGAACTGCATGCTGCGCACTTAGGAGTAATTAAAATGAAAATGATTGCTAGAGAACGCTGTTGGTACCCGGGTATCGACAGCGACATAGAAAACATGGTTTCTAACTGTGGTCGTTGCATATCCTTGCGACCATCTCCTGCGAAAGCGCGCTTGGAGTCGTGGGGGTGGCCTGACTCTGTTTTCGGAAGAATCCATTTAGATTACCTCGGCCCAATTCATGGGAAGATTTTTTTTGTACTAGTCGATGCGCATAGTAAATGGATTGAATGCGAATTAATGTCAAATTTTTTATCAAAAGAACTTATCAATAAATTAAAAAAAATTTTTTCACGTTTCGGCATTCCCAATAAAATAGTCACAGACAATGCCAAAACCTTTGTTTCGTCTGAATTTTCTAAGTACTGTACTGATAATGGCATAACTCACATTTTATCTCCTGCGTACTCGCCACAGAGTAATGGACTCGCCGAGAACGCAGTAAAGACTTGTAAGCGGTTTATTGTGAATGCTATCAAGGATTGTGGTTTTAAAGACTTCGCTAATCACTTAGATAACTATTTGTTTCACTATCGGAATACACCGCATTGTACGACGGGAGTATCACCTGCATCGCTTATGTTCGGTCGGAATTTACGTTGTAAACTTGATTTAATCGCTGTTAAGCATTCAAATTTAGATCGAAAACCTCTAATACATAAAAATGTGTTAGTGAATCAAAATCGTCAAAAATTATATTTTGGTGGTAAAATTAAAGCATTTTCGATTGGGGAGAAAGTTTGGGTACGAGACTATCGAGCCAATCCCAAAAGACCAACATGGATCCTTGGCCAGGTCGTTGCACGCTTAGGTAAAGTTCTATATGATGTGACGATACAGAGATCCGATATCATTTGGAGACGTCATGTGAATCAGTTAATGTCAGCCAAATCACATAACAGCAGTCGTGGTGAAGCGGCGTGGACGTTTGAGGATATGGACGTTGGGAGCACGGCAGGTCCCAGTGCCTCTCATGATACACCTGCATCATTACCTCTCAATAGCCCAGAGGGTGCGCTAGCCGCACAACCACCGGGACCTGACGGCGGTGAGGCGGCACCGGTGCTGACTCACGCGGAGTCTGACATGGGAGACGTGTCCCCACCGCCTCAAACCTCCACGACCATGCGCACTCGATCTGGCCGCGCTATTAAACCACCTAAACGCTTAGTTTTATAATATTTATACTTACTAAATCTAATGTAAACATTTGTTTTGTTTATAATTGTTTTTTTGTGTATTCTTAATAAACGTAGAGGAGAGGTGTTAAAGTCGAGTGATTAATGTCGTTTTTTTATTATACATAAAACAATGTATGTATTGTAGTATATGTGTTTTTGATTTTTTTTATGCTAAAATTGTGTAAGCGCAACATGTCCATCAATTATACATAAGGCATAGTTGGTTGCTTCCCAAATAAAATGTGGTACTTAATCATTAATTAGGTATAATGCTTATATATTGTATATTACGTTGTAATCTAAGTGTGGAGGGATGTAGCATATTGTGTCGGTAGATAATAATAACGGGTTCTACGGCTACCCTGTATTGTGTGAATAAATGATCGTTTACGGGTTCAGTGTGTTTAAATAAACGTTCCCCGTATTCCTTGAATAGCAAGGACATTACAGAATTATACCGGGAATTACCTTCATTATGGATGGTTAAGAGTAAAGATTACTCAAACAGAGATTTAAAGTCACAAAGCTATGAGATATTAGTGGGAAAATTTAAGGAGGTGGAGCCAAACGCTGATCGAGATTTTGTGATAAAAAAAATTAAAAATATGTGGGATGTTTGGCGAAGACAACACGAAAAGATTGAAAAAAGCTTGAAATCCGGAATGGCTGTGGAAGATATTCCTACTCAATCATTATGGTATTATGATTTACTCAACTTCTTGAAAGATCAAGAGACGACTAGAAGTTCAATAACTAACATTAAAATAGGAAACAAAGATCGGGTAAGATGCGAAATAAAAATACAATTTATGCTTTAGGACTCGTATACTATATTTGTTTATTCATATTGTTATCAAATAACATTATGTAAAGGTATTTAAATTAGTGAAACGGTTTTGCCACAAAACACTACCCTCATTATTGAAATATTGCATATATTGATCTCGAACATATCTAGCCATGGTTTGACTTTGACCTTGATTCGTTATTTGTAAATCTAACAATTCGTTGTTGGCTCTGTAACCTGTGCTTATGTTGCCATCTTCTAAATTTTCAATATCCACACCCACTCGGATATATTGATTACAATTTCGACGTAAAAAGTTATGCAATATACATGCTGCCATTACTATTTTGTCAATGGTTTTCACATCTAAATTGATTGAAGTTTTGAATATTCGGAATCGATTGACTAAAATACCAAAAACGTTTTCAATAATACGACGGGCTCTTGATAGTCTATAATTGAATATTCTTTGTTGAGGACTTAAGTATGGACCTGGGTAAGGTTTCATCAAATCTGGGCGTAAAGAAAATGCATCATCCCCCACGAAGACGTATGGCAAAACAGTTTCACTATTCATTATCCTTGCTACCCTAGGAATATTTAAGGATCCTGTGTTTAGTTTCTCATAAAATATACTTCTATTAATAACTCCACCATCAGATATTCGGTCATTAATTCCTATATCTACCATTATAAATTCGTAATTTGCATTTGCTATTGCTAATAAAACAACGCTGAAATCTTTTTTATAGTTAAAGTAGTATGATCCACTATTTGCTGGGGGCACAATTTTTACATGTTTCCCGTCTATAGCTCCTAAGCAATGAGGAAACTGCCACCTTTCTTCAAATGTTTTTGCTATGTTTAACCATTCTTCTTCAGTTTCAGGAAACTAGAACAAAAATAGGTATTTATATTTATATTTTATTTCAGGGACCTGTCGATGAGGAATTAGGAATAAATAGAAATGAAGATGTAGATTCTGATATATTTTCGGAGTCAACGCAATCACCAGCACCCTCAACAGTGTCTACTACGGCATCTCGTGATAGTAATAAAAAAAAGAAGAGACCAAGAGAAGATATTCTTAGTAAAATCAAGGCTCATCTCAGCGAACCTATTCAGACAGACCGCTGGGAACATACAGCAAAATCATGGGCTGGTATTTTAAAGAGTTTACCAAATGATCAACAAATTTTTGCGGAGAAATTAATTAACGACGTTTTGTTTGAAGCACGAATGAATTCCCTCTCTCGTCAAAGTCGTATTGATGTAAATCATAATGTTAATATACAATTGCTTTCTAAAAATGAAAATGTTCAAAGTGCTCATAATTCAAATGCTACTACTGATGATACTTTTTCACAAAGCCTTTTGATAGATCCTGTGAGTGGTTAATTAATTCATGTTCCTCAGGAGACGAACAATCAGTCACTAGAAATTGCAGAAACCCGATTGCTCAATTCTAAAACATCTCAAAAGCTTACGATGTATTTTAATAATTTTCAACCATAATGTATAACTGTTAGCACATAGTAAATACGTAACAGAAAAGTTTAGTTTTACTAAAAAGCACCTTTAAACCTACCTTTAAATATTCTTCTTGCAATGTAGCTATGATCGCATCACATGTTTCTGGAATTATCTTGCTTAGAGATTGCTTAGATATTGCAACGCTGTATTGTAAATCCTCATAAGATCGTCCGGTTGCTAGAAATCGCAATGTAGCTGATAATCGTGAGCTGTTATCGCTTTTCTCATGCACGTATCTTGTTTTGTTAGCATTGGCTCCAACAGAGACAACAACTGTTGATATGTACAAGAGTCCATTCGTAAATAGTTTCTAAAATCGTTCGGTTCTTGTAGTGCTAGCTCGGCCATTAAATTTATATGCGAATATCTTGGTCTTTGAAGTAACCATTTTTTCGCCCAACATCTTCTATTTTTCTTTTCTCTCTCTTTGTCATATATGCAAACGGCTGCTGGCGCTAGTAACATTCGACGCCTTTCTTCGGACATTACAAAGAAACGTTCACAAATAAAAAGGTGAATAACAGACACCGGTATACACATCTACTTTCCCCTATATATTATTATACTCTTTGCGTCTACTGCCTTCTACTGCGAAACGAATACTGATAAATCGCTATAATATAGACACAAAAGTCATAAGTCGCTAGCGAGTCACCGTCGATTAAAGTCGCTGCATGTGTACCGGGCTTTAGTAGGTACATTAATGCTTGAAAAACGCAATTATTATTATACTAAATTTAGATGAACCAAAAGAACTCTATCAAAGTCTATCAAACGTAGTTTTTAGATTTTGTCGTATTATAATGTACTAGATCCATCTGTTGGCACAAGATGTCGCCTCTGTTGATGTAAGAAGATAAAATTAAAACGCTATGTGGTTAGGAGATTCAACAACCTATTTGACAACATTTTTAAAATGGTCGCATTGAGTTGAGTGCAAATTCCTCCAATCTGACATACAGACAATTCAAATTATTGCGTTTATGAGAGTTTGAGACAAAGATTCTTATATTTTGAGTGTTGTTTTAGAGACAGGGACTCTTCATCTCCTCAATATTTCTAGTAAAAAGTATTGTGTTCACGGCTGCAAGGACTCTGGAAGTAAGTATATTCCGTAATTTGATAAGATTTAAACTAAACATATTATCAAAAATCTCTTGCATCTGCTCTAAGATGTTTTTAAAGTAATCTGCTATGCCTGGTATGGACGGCTGTAGGCTGATATCCATATTAATATATTATTATATGTAATAAATGTAAGATTGTGATTTTGAAGTTAGGCGGACTTCCACTGGAGTGATGACCTGGTATATGATGTAGGTGGCTAAGGACCGTGCTTTGTAATTTTTATTGAAGAGGCAAGAGGCCTATGTTTGGTCTGTAACGATGATGATGATGATGATTAATTGTTTGTTTTATTTAATGTTATAGTCCATGCTGAAAAAATTCATCACCATAATAATAGTGTACTGTAAAACATCAGTTTATTAATAAATAATTTGTATTTGACACAATTGATTGTACTTGTATTAGAATAATAATAATAAAAATATTTCTATTCTTTTAATCAGTCCAGTGTAAGTCTTATGTATTCATGACTAAATTAAATTATGTATTTAGTCTTAAAAATTGTATGTTAATAAAAACAGAGAACCCATCACCTCATTTCGTCCCATGGGTGTTATGTTATAAGAGATATGACAAATAATCTCATGAGTTCTGTTTAGTCGGCGGTATAACCATCTCGTTTACGCCAGACGTAAAATCCAAATTGACGATTGACAAGCTGCGTCGAAGGTGTTCATGTCTAGATCTATGATTGTCAAGCCGCCTGCCAAGCATGACAGGCTTAAGTCCAGCAGAAAACTTTAATAGGCCAATAAAAAAGAAAAAAGTCACAAAAACCTTGCTGTGCTCTGATAATACAAGTGTTTATTAATGGATTAATTAACTTTTTGTTTTTCAGAAAAAGGCATTCTTCCAAAAGAATATGCGGAAACTGCCGAAATTCTCCTCTTTTTTGGCAAGGTATTCGATTCTGTTATGGCCATATATACCATGGCAGCTATAATAAAGAAAATACTATATGTAAAGCCTCTTCTTGGACCAGCAAGGCCAAACTCAGAACACCATAAGTTGTGGAATGAAGCAAAAGCTATATTAAATAACATGAAATTTATAAATAAAATGTCTAATAATCATGAGAGTGAGTACTTGGTGTATAAATTCTTTTAAAAAATTGGAAACTAAGTATGGTATTACTTCTGTTTGGATGCGGCACCTCAACCAAGACCCTATTGAAAACTTTTTTGGAACCATTAGAAACTATGAGTGCCGCAATGTTAATCCAACACCAGAACATTTTCAGAGTGTATACACTACACTTTTAATTAACAATATGTCCAGTGTCCATGTCTCAGGAGCTAATTGTGAAAAAGATAATTGTAAGGCTTTAGAATCTGTTATCATCACAGATAACTGCAAAGCTGCTGCAACCTGTGTCCTTGAAACAATCCCGGATGTAGATATAATCTATACATATAATAAAAATGTAAATAGCAGATGTCTGTACATTTTATATTTTTGTAATAAAAGTGATTGAGAGGTACTAAAAATAAGTAATTAAATACATTTCTACCATTTTTAGATTTTTCTGTCTGTCTGTCTGTCTGTCTGTTTGTTTGTTAACATATCACGTATAAAGTACTAATTTATATCATAAGAATAGTTAAGGAAATGATTAAGTGTATTATTACGGATCGCCGTAATGCCGTGCGAAAAATGGAATAAAACGCGCTGGTCTTGCTTTTAACTGGAGGCAAGCGGCGGTGAGGAGGAACTTGTACTTTTTCTTTTCTTGCTGGTGCCTTTTCGGTGGCTGGAGAGCGACTGCTGACCCTAGCGGCCGGCCCGTCTTTTATATGATTTGGCCGCTGCTGGCCAGCGGACCCTTGCCTCACCCCCGCGCCTATCTTTATTTATTTAAGAACCTTACAAACTAATAAACATAATTCACTATATAATATTCTTATAACTACTTGTTAGACTAGGGTGTACATATCAATATTTTTACTTATTTACGGGTTTACATTATAATTTTCAGCTGCTTTAGGCGGAGAATCCTTCCCCCCGCCTCAGCACTATAAATATAAAACGTCGTGGCGCGGTGCGCGTGGCTTCATTTGCTCCGCGGCCGCGTCACGATAACATGCTCTTTGGTTACACTACTACTATTTTTTTATGTGCCTAACGGCCTAATATATTTATTATATAATAAAGTAAACATTTATTATATTTAACAATTATAGTTTTCATTAGAAGACTATGCTAACTCTCCCTGTTCATACGGTGCCTTTATTTGGGAGAGTTATTGCACAGTTACAACTCAACCTTAAACTTAGTTATAATACAATCATTATTTTTTATCGTTCGATACAAGTAATACAATTATTTACACAAATTATAATTTAAATTCAACATAAGGTTGCGCTAGTTCCGCCGAATAACCCTTGCTAGTTGTCGAACCAGAGGCGTGGCCTGATAATTACACCGTCGTCCTGGCTCCGCCCACCGCTCCTAGGTTGTTCAACTAGCGCCGGTTACAATAAGCATTTTCTTTCGTTTGTTTAATATTGTTGCGTCGTGCACATTCTCCCGCCGTCGCCACGCTGCGATCCCTCTGGTAGCACGACGATCTTCTTCGTTGGTCTTCTTAGTATGTGCCCACTGCCGGTGGTTACGTCCACTACTCGTACCTCTCCGTCGACGCCAGGATATACCTTACTTATTTTCCCTCTGGGCCAGGTGTTGCGTGGTAGATTGGAGTCACAAATGATGACTAGGTCTCCAATCTTCGGCGATACTCCTATGCTGCTGGGCTCCCGCCGGTGTTGGAGTAGGGGCAGGTATTCTTTAACCCATCTTCTCCAAAACACGTCGGCTAGGGCTTGAGCTCGTTTCCATTGCTGGCGGGCCGTCACGTCATTCTTGCTGAAGTGTCCCGGCGCAGGTACGTGCGAGTTGGGACCGATGAGGATGTGATTCGGCGTGATGGCTTCAGGGTCTCCTGGGTCGACTGAGACGTGTGTGAGAGGTCTGGAGTTTACAGTATTTTCGACCTCGGCGAGCAGGGTCCCCAATGTTTCGTCGCTGGGATAGCGCTCGTTGAGGGTGACGCGTAGGGCTTCTTTTACGGAGCGAACCATTCGCTCCCATACGCCGCCCATGAACGGTGCTGATGGCGGTATGTACTTCCACACAATCTGTTGACACGTGGTTTCGTGCTCGAGGGCTGCGAGTGCTGCTTCGGCCATCTCCTTGTCTGCTGCCTTGAAGCACGTAGCGTTGTCACTCCATATTTCTTTTGGGCATCCTCTTCTGCTCATAAAACGCCTAAGTGCCGACACGGCTGAGTCTGCGCTCAACGAGTGGGCTACTTCTATGTGTATTGCTCGCGACGTCATGCAGGTAAATAACGCGCCATAGCGCTTTTCGCGATGTCGTCCCACTGTGACTTCTATTGGCCCGAAGTAGTCTAGTCCGGTGTATGTGAACGGACGTGCGTGATGAGCGAGGCGTGCGGACGGCAGGTTTCCTGTAGACGGTGATGCAGGCTTGGCTTTTCTTAGACGGCACGGCAGGCATCCTTTGACGACAGTTTTCACTACTGGACGTATTTTTCTTACGTACAATCTCTGTCTTAATTCATTCACAACTGTTTCCACGCCTCTGTGATGCAGCCTCTCGTGTACGTGTGCTATGTACAGGCGAGTGTATGCGTGCTTCCCGTCTAGTATGGGAGGGTCGTACATGTCGTCCTCCACTTCTGATGCCGCTTTTATTCGACCTCTGAGGCGTAGGGTCCCCTCTTCATCAATGTATGTGCTCAGGTGGCCTAGTTTGTCGTCGCCTCCCGGAACACTTCCGCTGGTGATTCTCTTGAGCTCCTTCGTGAAGCTTTCCCGCTGACTGGCTTGCACCCACAGTTGTTCGGCTCTCATATGATAAGCGGCCGGTATTCCTACAAGCGATGAGGCAGTAGGAGTCGCCTTTTTCTCCTTGGCGGGGGTGTTGCGTTTGTTTGTTCTCTGCCAGCCAGGGTCGCTACCTTGTCTTGCTTTGTTGCGTTTACGCCCAGCCTTCACTACGTGCTTGTTTGGTCTGCACATGTCGATGAATAGGAGGACTCTCGCTGTCGCCCTTATGAGGCGAATCCATTTAGAAAATCTTCCTATCTGTGGAAGATGTGTTGTTGTCGAGTCTTCACTTTCAACAGCGATGTTACATATTTCTCGCTCTTCCCCGGTGTCATATTGTGTCGTTTTCTCTTCCTGCGGCCATTCTGCCGGTGGACGCTGCAGAAACGGGGGCCCTCGGAACCATCGGTGCGACTCGTCGAACCCTTCTGGTGTGGCTCGGGTTGCGTCGTCTGCCACGTTTTCTTTAGACGGTAGCCAACGCCATTCGTTCTTTTTGGTCGTATCTTCTATCTCCGCCAGGCGATGAGCGACGAAAGCTTTGTACGCGCGAGGCTCCGATCTTATCCACACCAGTGCAGTACGGGAGTCGCACCAGTATGTCTTGCCTGCTATGTCGCCATCGTGTTCATCGATCACGGTCTGCGCAAGACGAGCTCCCAGCAGTGCCGCTTGTAACTCGAGCCGTGGTATGGAAACTGGTTTCAGTGGTGTTACGCGGCTCTTGGCGGCGGCCAATGATATGTTAACGCTGCCGTCTGCTCGCTCCGTTCTCCAATACACTGCTGCTGCGTAGGCCTCCTCGCTTGCGTCGACGAATGTGTGTAGTTGGCGCGTCGACACCGGGTTGTAATCGTAGCATCGCGGTATTCTTAGTTGTTCTATGGCGTTAAGTGAAGTAATCCAGCCTTCCCATTTTTCTTTTAATTCTGTTGGCAGAGGGTCGTCCCAGTCCGCCTTGTAACGCCATGTGTCTTGAAATATTCTCTTCGCTGGGGTGGTCACCGGTGATATTAACCCCAGCGGATCAAATAATGCCATTATGACGCTCAACGCTTCTCGTTTAGTTGGCAAGCGTTGTTTTTCTTTTACGTCGGCAGGCATCTTCATATTGTTAGT